CGTGGCGACGAATAACTGTTACCCAGGTTTTTTTGAGAAATAGAAGAGTCCTTTATAGATTTTGCGAAAAAAGTATGTTATTGTTAATTTTCCACAGATTTTACTTTAGTTGTATTAATTAGTTTTTAAATTTTAATCCTTATTTACATTTGCCAGCAGTGTAGACTTTGAGAGAAAAGTTCATTTGGCACGCAGGTCCTCGTCAGTTAATTTGTTCCATATCTTCTGTAACCATAGGCTAATTTTCTCCATTTTGAGTCCCTTATACTCCCCCTTCTGTCCAAAATAAGGCCTCATACTCAAAAATCTAACAGACTCGGGACTGGTGACTAGGACGGCCATTCATTCGACCAACCTTATACAGTTTTTTTCTTTTTTGTACTTTTTTTATACAAAGCCTAAGAAAAAATACACCTGAAAAAGACTTGCGTGCCAAATGAACTTTTCTCTCAAAGTTTACACTGCTGGCAAATGTAGATAAGGATTAAAATTTAAAAACTAACTAATACAACTAAAGTAAAATCTGTGGAAAATTAACAATAAAATACTTTTTTCGCAAAATTTATAAAGGACCGTTTTATTTCTCAAAAAAAACTGGGTAACAGTTATTCGTCGCCACGCTGTAATTAAAAAAAAATTTTTACCAAAGGTCCAATTTCGAACTTCCAATGTGGTGATCTCCGAAATAGCTTCTATAACTTCTACCGCTTCCTAACAAACAAATCGTGGTACAAAGCTCAATGACACTATTGAAACAAATTTTGTTGTTCAAGAGTGTTATTAGTGACAATGATAAGTTCGAGAATGCCTCCTGATCTTTCTATTTCTAGACAGGAAGAACGATGGCCTGTGTTATGTTGATCGCCCTCTATGCAAGGATTCAGTTGCTTTCATTTTGAAAAGCCAATTTCGTTGTTAAAACTATTGATATCGATAATGTTCCTGCGGAAGCAGAACAATGTATTTTTGTACCGGAGCACACTTGTGCACAAGGGTATTATAACTTTATTCACATAACCGTTATTTGTAATAGCCTAAAGGAAGTGAGACAGATATAGACAAATGTCATAAATGATCATATTGAAAAGAGAAATAGATTAAGCCGTAACAGTAACAGCCCGTCTATTCGTCCGTCTGTGCACACGAAACTCGTGTAAAATTTTAGATATATTAACGAAACCTGGTACATGTATTTCTTTTGAGCTAATGACGGATGGTATTGAAAATGGGCCTACCTACCATAACGGCGGTTTGCAGAAGTACGAAAACTGCGATATTTTAGTAACTAATGCAGCTTATTCACTAAAAATTTATATTTACAAGGATCTCTTGGAGCAAAATAAGAATATTATTAATTTTTTTAATTTTTTTGGCGTTGCCACGCCCACTTATGATTACATGTGTATATCTCCGAAACTTGGCACACTTGTTGGCCTTGGCACAACATACCAAATGGCTGAAAATTTTTGACTGAAATGAAATCGGGCATTAACCACGCCCACATCTCATATAACGGTAATTTAGAGAAATACGAAATCCACGATAAATCAGCAAATACTGAAACTAATTTATTAAAAATTTATGCCGGGAATAACTCTTTAGCAGGAAATATGATTATACAATTTTTTTTGGAAAGTGGGCGTGACACCTCCTTTTATGAATCCGTATGTGTTCTCGGCAATCGTTCCATCAATTTGTACCAAACTCGGTATACTTATTGTACTGGACCTAAGAAACCAACATGTTGAACATTTTTGAAATCGGACTTTATTACGCCCACTTCTCATATAGCAGTAAATTCCAGAAATGCGGAAACTTCGATATTTCGAAATTCAAGCACACCAATTTACTCAAAGTTGATACTCACAACAATCCCTTAAATTTAATAAGGTTATTATGAAATTTTGGTGCCGCCCACTTGTAATTATATAAGTGGATCTCATTAAGTCTAACTGCACATAGTGAAGAAATTGTTTGAAAAACACCCTGCGAAAGATAAAAAAAACTATATTTAATACGTGCGTCGGGTATTCAATGTTCGGATTCGCCCGAACTAGACTTTTTAACTTGTTTAATATAGAATAGCATATCCAAGTCATCTTAGTACTTTCACCATTCGTGTTTAGCGTTGAAACAAAGTTTTATTCAGTGGTCTTCCTGATTACTTGACTTTGTGATGGGTCTGACAAGTTGAGTCGGCCTCTGTGGTGTAGTGGTAAGCAGTGCGCACTTCCACTCCGCAGCACCTGCGTTCAAACCCTGGTCAAAGCAACATCGCAAAAAAATATAGAAAAAAGGTTTTTTCTTAACAGCGGTCATCCCTCGGCAGGCAATGGCAAACCTCCGAGTGTATTTCTGCAATGAAAAACAGTTTCTCATAAAAATACAATCGCCGTTCGGAGTCGGCGTAAAACTTTAGGTCCCTCCGCTTTGTGCGACAATATCAAGGCGCACGCCGCAAGTTTGAGGAGAAGCTCGGCCAAGCACTAACATATTTGTAAGCGCCAACCTATTATTATTATTATTATTATTATTATTACTGACAAGTTGAGTATGTATAAATAAATACACATTATTCGACTATTCTCAAAAAATCGGATTATATAAACAGAAGAATAAAATCTGCCACCTATAGGCGGGCAATTCTTGCTTGTAGTTGGCTTAGTAGTACTACACTTTTCGTGAGGCTATCACCTATCAAATCGTATGAGAAACTGTTTTTACCCTGACAGGTGAAGTAATGATTTTTTTGTATCTGTGGCAGCATAGCTTAGTTTTGCCATCGCTCGAGCAACATCTCTTTATGATTTGCTTTATTATCGATGCTCACAAACGGATATATGTATGATACACTTACTGATTAGCAGATACGAAATCCCAGCGGAGCTGAGCGACTTTGAATTGTCACAGGTGTGACATGTGACGGACGTGAGAAACATAATATTTTTTTTTTTGTTATTTGTGGCCTTATAAGAATTATATTCAACCATATTATGGAGCTTGAGGGCATTTTTGATAAAACAATTTACAAACAAGTAAGAAAGTCTAAGTTCGGGCGGAGCCGAACATTAAATACCCGGCGCAAGTATTAAATATATGTTTTCCACCTTTCCGAAAGCTACCGCTACATGATAAGCCGGGGTGTATACATTTTAAGTAAATTAGCGTCCTTAAATTTCGAAATATTGAAATTTCAAGCATTTCTGAAATTTACCGTTATATGAAAAGCGGCCTCAATTTTAGTCCGATTTCAATAATTTTCAACGTTTTTCTTCTATGTGGCAAGCACAATAACCACACCAAGTTTGGTACAAATTGGTAGAACGGTTACCGAGATACATATATGTGATCATAAGTGGGCGGTGCCACGCCCATTTTCCAAAACTTTATCATAACCGTATTTCTTGGTAAGGAATTGTTGCAACCATCAATTTTGAATAAATTAGCTGCAATATTTACTGATTTATCGAAGATTTTGTGTTTCTCGAAATTACCGTTATATGGGATGTGGGCGTGGTTATTGTCCGATTTTAGAAATTTTCGGCCATTTGGTATGTCGTACCAGGACCAACAACTGTGCCAAGTTTGGCAGAAATTGGTGGAGCGGTTACCAAGATATACACATGTAACCATAAGTGGGCGTGGCTACGCCCATTTTCCAAAAATTTATAAAATTCATATTTTCCGTCTAAAACTCATTGTAAGTATCACTTTTGAGTGAATTATCTTCAGTAGTTACTAAAATATCGCAGTTTTCGTATTTCTTAAAATTACCGTTATATGGGACGTAGGCGTGGTTATTGTCCGATTTCGCCAATTTTCAATACCATCCGTCCTACGCCCAAAAGAAGTTCACGTACCAAGTTTCGTTAAGATATCTAAATTTTTACTCGAGACGGACAGACGGACGGACGGACAGACAGTCACCGCTTAATCGATTTCTCTTTTCATTCTGATCATTTATGTATACATTTGTCTATATCTATCTCGATTCGTTTTGCCTGTTACAAACAACCGTTATGTGAACAAAGTTATAATACCCTTGTGCACAAGTGCGCTCGAGTATAAAAAAGACAGCAATTTATATTTGGGTAGATCACCACATTCATCAGACTTCTTCAACTGGGATTTGATCCAACGACCCCAGCCGCCTAAGCTAGTAGACTTTCCCACTGAGCAAAGTTGAAGAAATCCAATGAGGAGATGTGGTGGTCTCCGAAATAGCTTCTATAACTTCTGTCAAAATGTAAACTGCTGTTTTTTCCGCAAAAAATTTCATTCAAAACGGCCTAAAGCGCAATAAAATTGCTGAATCTTGTGAAAATTGTTCCGTATTTAAAATGTTTAAAAAATTTTAGCTTTTAAGCACGAAAAAAATATCTCAGGCAAACACATTAAAGCTATGACCGGATGCTTTGTACTTCACCATATTTACTGTTATTATATATGTAAATATTTATTGGGCATTTCAAAAGCACAGTACTGCAAATGACGTCTTATGCGCTGGATAAAAACTTTTCCATTTGCTAATCCATCATTTTGTGAATTTTGCCATTAAAAAACAAATTGCGCCATTCAACATTTGAGTGGATAAAAACGCAGCAATAACAAAGAGTGTGTATATGTACATACAAAGAATTTGTTTGTGTTTATCCTTGCCGGCAAATCTACTTCAATTCTTTTCAAGCTTTAATGCAAATTCATTGGCAAAGAAAAGGGTTAACGCACCCAAAAGGCATTGACGCGGCAGCGATAGCGGCGTCCCGGTCTAAGACAAGACAACCCGTACTGCAACAAATTCACAGTTTCTGGGGCGGATTTTTGTATTTTTGATTAATGATTCAAACTTTGCTTACTTTTAATTCAGCTACTTCGAAAGGATTCGTCTGGCAATATTTTCTTTTGTTTGCTTGCTTGTGCCAGAAGAAGAAGAAAACGGATGGATCTTAGCGTCCAAGCAATTTTCCCTTTTTTAATTAAAATTCAAAATTATACCCGTTTAGTCTTTGCGGCGCTGGAGTTGCTTAATAAATCGCGTCATTTGTGTGTATTTTTTTTTTTAATTTTGTCATTTATAAATTGGAAAAGTTTCTTAAGCAAAAATTTATCATTTCTTGGTACGAAATGAACGTTGCTCACCTACATACATACATACAAACATATGTAGTATGTATGTAAATATTTCCTGTTGGTGTCCAGCGCAGCAGCCCTTTCATGCCAGCGTGTAATAATTATAATTTTTCCTCTTTTACTTCTTTCTGGTTTGCGAACGCCGATCCAAACTGGCAGCAAAACCGTAATTTCCTTCTTTTGTCCAATTCATCAGCGATATGATACAGCGACAGCCAGGCACTCCAGCCAGAAACCCGGCGCAGGATCGGGGATGTCCTTGTTCCCTTGTTTCCGTTTTCGCCCAGTCACCGCACTGCGTCACCGATTTTGTTTATTTTTGCATTTTTTGTTTTCGATTTTTCCCTACAGTTGGTGTCGTAGTAGTTGTCGGTTGCGTTTCTGTTCTCTTGGCGCTACTGTCGAGGCAAACAAATTAAATGGTGATTATCATAGTCAGCAAAACATTTCTTATGGTCGAAGTTTCCACATTGTGTGTCTTTGCCTTTATTTAGTTTTTCTCCTGCAGATAAATATGTACATATGTACGTATGTATGTATGTAAATATGTATGTACTTGCTAATGTATGCGTACTTATTTCTGTATCTGGAGACGTCTGTTTTGGCTAGCGCTGTCTTACGCCTGATGGCTTTGTAGAGATTTTTAACTCTTTTGCCACGACTGTCTTTAACCCCGACGTCTTTCAACTCGATGCGGTTGTTTCTGTTTTTATTTTCCATCGTTGTACAGTGGGAGATTGTGGCCAAAAATCCAAATGAAATTTAAGTAAATCCCTTTGTTTTGTTGTTTTTGGCAGATCGTACCTAATATAAGAAAAAACAAACAAAAAAATTAATATTTTTCATGTTTAGCGGTACAATGAGCTCAAATACATATTTATTTGTAAGTAAAAATTCTGAATTTTTTTCGAAATTTATACCTTGCTTTGAGGAGCTCACACTAATTTTTTTATTAACTAATGTTCTTGTAAGTTAATAGAAAAGCTTTCGATTAGTATAGCAGCAAACAGATGGCAACCTGCGCGGCGCTCTTTTCTGTACCAGAAATTGTTTCAAAAATCTCTGATATACATATGTAAATGAGAGCCTGATAAAAAGAGTTCGATATATTTATTTTAAAAGCTTTATCCAGATGAGAGAAAATAGTTTTATTCGTTCAGCAGTATTGCTGGTACTAAACGCCTCCGTAGCAAAATAATAGAACAACTAGAAATCCCGATTGTATGGGTGGTTAATAGTGGGGATGTACATATTGCATCCTCTATTGATCTCTTCAGGCCTTCTCAGTATCAGTGTGCGATTCAGGCGAGAAAAAGTTTAAGGAATTGGCACCAGCAGCACAAGAAATGCTCCTCCTTTAGGATGAAAAAAGCACATAATTTTATTCGTATTGAAGCAAAAAAGGGAACATAGCGTTTCTGACCTTTGATAAAGATTTATTTTTGTAAATCTTTATTACGTTTAGTGAAATACCACAAAACGGATACAAAAAAAAAAGTATTTATAGAAAAGTAAATATATTTTTGTTTAATTTAAATAGAAATAACCGATAAGGGTGATAAATTTATGAATTTGTATGGACTTATAATTTTATCACGTTTATCAGCAGTTGATCATGTTAGATGAATACCCCTATTATAAATAAAATAAAAATATGCTTGTTCAGTAAACGCATTTGAAGAGGTCCATAACAAAATGAAACAATTCCAGTTTTAATTTTTTCCCGATTTTTATGGGAATCTTATTCCACATTTCATTATCTAAGTCTTAGTGATTAGAACTTGTGCGACCTTTTGGACTAGTGTATTTAAAAAGGCCTCTAAAGCTTTCATTTTCAACAAAAATTTCCAAGGCAACGTAGTTCGCTCTCTCATTCGTAATTCGCACTCCAATTACCCTTCGAATTACGTAATTCGCCATACAAAATTTTGAGGGCGAATTACCTCATTTGTTGGTAATTTAGATCCAATTATCGTGCGAATTACGAACAAATCAGTGTGGTCTCTAGTTTTTATCGGACATTTATCGAAATTAGCTCACAAATCAAAACTTAATTTTTTCCCGAGTACAAAAAGTAAAGTTTATAAATGTGCATATCCCTAATTTAATACGGAAACTAAGAAGAAGAGAAGAGGAAGAATCTATATTTTGCATCAATTTTGCGGCGAAAAAACAAAAACCAAAAAACACAGAGGCAGAGAACTGTCAAATCGAATTAAGATTGTGCTCGTGGGAATGGGGTAATTCGCGATCGTGATTGGGGGAGTGAACAAAGTAATTCAGGATGCCGTGAGAAAATGGTTTAAGAGCCTTTTCCATTGTCTTGGGGCTTGTTGGGACGTAGTTTTAAGGCGATATTAACCCTTTTCAGGAAATGGCCTTTGTTTGTCAAGGTAAATGCCCACGAATAGGGTTGATTTCAATTAACTGGTTTTGGAGTTTAAATATTTAATAAAATGCGGGCAGTGTCACGCCCCTTGCAAAATATGGCCCTATAACTCCGTAAGATTACTAGTTTAAAAATATTGAAATTTAAATTTTTTCCGAAATTCTCTTTATATGGCGAGTGGACGTATGTTTAGATGGATAAGGTTAATTTTACCGTAATTTTTAGTACACTCATCAATTAAGCTTTCTTACAAAATTTGCAATTTGCAACTGACCCACCCCACTGTGCGTTGGTGCGACTGAAATCCTCGACGCTGCGTCTTGCTGACCTGGCGTGGTTGATCCTCGTTAAGCGATCTTCACAACTATTATTTAACCGCAACAGCAACGAATTGTGAATGCTTCATGCGTTATTGAAGAGCACAACTGCCGCAACTCCTGCCGCGGCGTAGCGCGGCGCGCCCCGGCACAGTCACAGCCATTGCCACAGTCACTCAGACGCATACTGGAAATATATTCTGATTTGTTTTCCGGTAGCTCTGCTGATACCTTTTCATTCTCATGTTAGGGTAGGCAAGGGTTCTTCGCACAAATTGGCGGTTGCCTGATGGTGCCTGGCTTAAAACCACTGCATCTGCTCAACATTATGTATATGTATGTAGTTTTTTTTTTGTATTCCTTTGTTGTTGTCTTACGCCCTTCATCTGTTTGCATCGGTTGGTTTTTGTTATCCCCTTTTATTCACTATTGAGTATTCTTAGGGATTTGACTTTGTTTTGTTTTTGTTATCGCGTTTCTGTGCTGATATGTTTTTTTTTTTTACATCGACGATTTCCTGAATGAAAGGGAAACAATGGGAACTTAAGTGGGTTTGTAGGATCACTTTCGGTTTTTAACAGCCGTGTCTGAGCCAGAGAAGCAGAAGTTGGATGCATCTACAACAAGTGCGTTGATCTGTGCTAGCCGCAATGAGGCTGCCTTCGTTATCAGCTTACATGACCCAGCCACGACGACAGGTTCACAGAGGACCACAGATGTAGATGCAACACGGAGACATTCAGAGAGATTTGCAGTTGATAGGTACATATGTATGTATGTATGTGCATATCCTATGAGAAAATTGAACATGTGTTTCAGTGTTGTAAATTACATACAATGTTGTAAAAAAAGGTGAGAGGTGTTGCAAGAAAGGATTGATAAATTTGTGGCGGAAAATCAGGTGCGAACTGATGTTGGGAATGTATGTATGTATGAATATGTATATGTATGCACAATCTTACATATGTATAGAGGAAGGAACATTTGTCTATCCCTACTTTATTCTGGCTGTTGCCCAGTTAGTTGTATCTCTTTGTTTTCTCTCTGCGTTATGTGCGTGTAAATAATTGAATTCTTAAAGATGAAGATAAATTGAAGGCGGATGCGCTTCGGATAGGTAATGTATTTGGAGACTGTGGTATACTTGCAGCTACATAGAATTGGGTTTTGTACGTATGTTTTGTTCTTATGCATAAGCGGTTTAACATGCGAAATAGAGAAATCGATTTGTGATGCTGATCTGAAGTAATTAATAAGTGTGGAATGCTTATAGCCTTTTGTATGACGATAAATCACTTCAGTGCTTTGTTTGGAAAAGATCGTATTCACGACATTGATTGAGGCCTGCCATGGAAGAAGATTGTTTACCAAAAATTTATTCGGTCAAATTTAACACTTCCAAAAACAAAACATTGGCTAACTCATTTTTAAAAGGTGCATACACCTCTGGGCATAATAATAGGCTCACCCAATTTTGACGAGTTTTGATTTTTTTTCGTTTGTTTGTTTAATGTTAATTAATTTTTTATAAAAGTCTAGTCCATTATATAAAAACACAGAAAAATTTCACAACAGCATATTTTAGATTCGCAGTATTTAATAATATTTTTATAGCCCATTATACCTATTCTAGTTTGAAACCGTACAAGTTTTAAGTAGCTCATAAACTTCGTTGATTTTTGATCATTTCTTTTGCTGATAGTGCTATTACATACTATAAAATAAATAAAATGCGTTCTAACAGCCAGGCAGACACATGGACATGGCTAAATCGACTCAGGTCGACGTTCTGATTATTTCGGTTAACATATTTTTTTCCTGGGTCCATCTTTTGTTCATCTGGCACTTACAAAGTTGGATTGCCATTTCGGGATCATGAAAGGTATAAGCTCAAATTTTATCATACATTATCGATTTATGGGCGGTCTTATGTTTGATATGCCGACATACATACTTATGTATATACTTATAGAGATAGTACATGTGTATATATGCACATATATATATTTATGGTCTTATTCATAAAAAATAAAGTAGCTTTAAAAACGTTTATAAACTGAAAAATGTATGTAAACGTCACTTTATAAACCTCTTTAAACCTACTTTATTTTTTATGAATAAGGCCATTAAGGTTTAAATTCAAATAATAATCAGCTCTAATATTCGGTGTATATGAATAAAGTGAGGGTGGTATTTATACATCTTTTAATAATTGAATCATGTGTACAGCCAATATGGTTGATGGTGTTGCTTACAAGTGACCAGTGTGCGACCATAAATTTGTAGCTGTAGATAAGCCTTAGAAATTATGGTAGATTTCAAAATAATGTGATAGATTAAATACTTAGGCGTAGGTATTAAAATGCGTAATCTTTCAGTTTAACATGCTTTTAATTAGCCCATAACGATAAAATACTTTAAAAGCCCGTTTGCATTTCCCAAGAAAAATCATAAGAAATAGTTTTCGTTATTTCTGTTGCTACGAAAGGCACTTTGAAGTTGGTGTAAATTTTCTTGAAGAAATACCCGGCAGTGAAACCCCAAACAAGTCAGGAAAAATACTGGTTTACAACTAGAATTTCCTGACTGAAACCGAACTAGTTCGAAAATGGCCAGACTTGTACCAAGTACAAAATGATTTATTCATGCCCTGCTTTATTTGACTTCGACAGTTTAATACAATAAAGTATACAAAATATTATAACTTTTATTTGGGTATATTATAAACCATTAAGCCGAGTACGTATTCAATTATGCCAGACTTGTTAAATAATGATTATTAATTAAAGCATTTTTTATTTGATAAGCCTTTAATGATTAAACATCGATTTTGGTGATTAATAACTAATTACTTAAAAAAATGTTAATTAATTCATTCAATTTTGATGTAGTTTACACCTAGTACATTTGACTACAGGGTAAATAGACGAGCCTTCTTTTTTTAAGATCGATCTGCATACTGATTTAAGACATTTTGTTAGAGGAAACTTCTTTTTTATTCGCGTTCTTGAGTGTTGTTTTACATGAATTTTTCGTTTTTCTTGAGAGCTGCAGACAGGCCTGAAAAAATATATACATATCGTCGTTTAAAGGGTTCC